ATTGTTAACGGACAAACTGTGACTGCTCTTTTGGACACTGGTAGCTTTATGTCACTTATAAAGCAGAGTCTAGTACCAGTGTGACAAATAGATTATGGGAGGCAAGGGGACATTTTGTGTGTACATGGTGACAAACATGCATACCCCAAAGCATTGGTATTAATGAACAATCATATCTATTGACATTTGGGGTCACTGAAAACCTGCCAGTAGATGTTATCCTTGGACGAGACTTGCCAGTGCTTTTTGACATGATAAAAGGAAAACAGTCCATTCAGATGGATTCTGATAGGGACATCAAAACACATGTAAATGTTATTTCTTGTCCAGTGGTCACCAGAGCCCAGGCAAAAGCCGGTGTCCAACCATTACCAGACTTGGATGATAGTCTGTGAGAGGGTGGCACAAAAGGGCCAAGAAAAAAACGGAGTCAACGCCGTTTTGAAAAACAACTAAGGCTAAAAGAGCCTGATAAAAGAGATTCATGATGGGACATACCAGAAAACATCTCTCTTTTACAAAAGGAGGATGAAAGTCTGAAATCACTGTTTGTTAAAGCTGAAAAAGAGGAGTATGAAAAATGTGTGGGTGAACCAAGGTTTCTTATTGAAAGTGATGTGCTGTATAACATTGAAAATGAGTGTAAACGGGTGGTAATCCCTGCTAGATGTAGACCTCTCATTATGCACTTAGCACACACATTGCCATGGGCGGGACACTTGGGTCGTCATAATGGGTCGTCTATTCGCTTGCCTTTAACACGGTGTGATTTGTTTTGGTCTGGTCTGTTCTCTACTCTGTTGGCCATTTTAGTTAGCTTCTGCTGCTATTTGTATCTGTATTTCTATTTTATGTTTTCCTGTCTGCTGTGCATGTTTGGTTCTTTTGTACAGCACTTTGGTTGGCCTTGTTGCTGTTTTAAGTGCTATATAAATAAATTGGTATGTATGGTATGGTATAAAACATATCTACGGACAAGTGCACGGTTTTATTGGCCAACAATGTATACTGATATTCAGATATACTGCGTTACTTGTCCTATATGTCAAAAAACATCCATCACCCGCAAATCTGACAGAGGGTTGCTTCGACCCCTGCCTATCATTTCCATACCGTTCCGTAGGATTGCCATGGACATTGTGGGCCCATTAATAAAAAGTAGCAGTGGCCACCAGTACATTTTAGTTGTATGCGATTATGCAACCCGGTTTCCTGAGGCTTTTCCGCTTCGCACCATCACTACACCCATGGTTCTTTGGGCAGGGTAGGGATCCCAGATGAAATCATAACAGACCAAGGCACAAACTTTACCTCCAAGCTAATGCACCTCTTTAATAAACAACTTGGTATTGCTCCAATAAAAATCACACCCTACCACCCACAAACTGATGGTCTGGTCGAAAGATTTAATCAGACATTGAAGAGGATGCTCCTGAAGTTTGTGGATGACACTGGTAAGGACTGGGATCGTTGGCTGCCATTCCTTCTGTTTGCCTATAGAGAGGTTCCACAGGCATCAACTGGCTTTTCACCCTTTGAACTGCTGTATGGATGGGACGTCCAGGGGCCATTGGATTTGCTCCGAAAAATCTGGGAGGCACCACCTACGAGTAAAAACAAGGGGATAATTCAGTTTGTGCTGGAGATGCGGGAACGATTAGCAAACTACAGAGAAGAAGCAGAACTCAACTTACAAGAGGCGCAGAAGAAACAAAAAACCTGGTATGACCAGCATGCCCGCCATCGTGATTTTCAACCTGGGCAGAAGGTGTTATTGCTTCTTCCTTCCTCCAGCAATAAACTTTTGGCCAAGTGGCAGGGCCCATACACAATCAACCGGAAGATGGGCCTTGTTACCTATGAGGTACATCAGCCAGACAAGAAAAAGAAAGACCAGACTTACCACATCAACTTATTGAAAGAATGGAAAGAGTCACCATTTCACCACAGTGTGAATTCTCTAATGGTGCGAAGGGTCAGCTTAGAAGGTGGGGATGACACAGAAACTGAGGGTCTGATGACAACTGTTACTCC